TTATTATATTTCCTTGTTCATGATAATCGTTTATTATCCATGCTATAATTGTATTGATAGGAAACTCAGATACATGTGTGGGTACATAGACAAACACCATGTCCCTAGTAAGCCTCTAGTTGACTAGCTCGTTGATCAATAGATGGTTACGGTTTCCTGACCATGGACATTGGATGTCGTTGATAACGGGATCACATCATTAGGAGAATGATGTGATGGACAAGACCCAATCCTAAGCCTAGCACAAAGATCGTGTAGTTCGTATGCTAAAGCTTTTCTAATGTCAAGTATCATTTCCTTAGACCATGAGATTGTGCAACTCCCGGATACCGTAGGAATGCTTTGGGTGTACCAAACGTCACAACGTGACTGGGTGGCTATAAAGGTGCACTACAGGTATCTCCGAAAGTGTCTGTTGGGTTGGCACGAATCGAGACTGGGATTTGTCACTCCGGTTGACGGAGAGGTATCTCTGGGCCCACTCGGTAGGACATCATCATAATGTGCACAATGTGACCAAGGGATTGATCACGGGATGATGTGTTACAGAACGAGTAAAGAGACTTGCCGGTAACGAGATTGAACAAGGTATCGGGATACCGACGATCGAATCTCGGGCAAGTATAATACCGCTAGACAAAGGGAACTGTATACGGAATTGCTTGAATCCTTGACATCGTGGTTCATCCGATGAGATCATCATGGAACATGTGGGAGCCAACATGGGTATCCAGATCCCGCTGTTGGTTATTGACCGGAGAACGTCTCGGTCATGTCTGCATGGTTCTCGAACCCGTAGGGTCTACACACTTAAGGTTCGATGACGCTAGGGTTATAAAGGAAGTTTGTATGTGGTTACCGAATGTTGTTCGGAGTCCCGGATGAGATCCCGGACGTCATGAGGAGTTTCAGAATGGTCCGGAGGTAAAGATTTATATATGGGAAGTCCTATTTTGGCCACCAGAAAATGTTCGGGATTTTTTGGTATTGTACCGGGAAGGTTCTAGAAGGTTCCGGAGTGGGGCCCACCAGCATGGGGGACCCACATGAACGTGGGTAGTGGGGGCAAGGCCCCAAACCCTTGGTCAAGGCGCACCAAGATCCCCCCTTAGAAGGAATAAGATCATATCCCAAAGGGATAAGATCAAGATCCCTAAAAAGGGGGGATAACAATCGGTGGGGAAGGAAATGATGGGATTTCTTTCCTCCCACCTTTGCCAACGCCCCAATGGACTTGGAGGGCAAGAAACCAGCCCCCTCCACCCCTATATATAGTGGGGAGGCGCATGGGAGCTTCACCCTTGCCCCTGGCGCAGCCCTCCCCCTCTCCCAAGTACTCCTCCTCTCCCACGGTGCTTGGCGAAGCCCTGCAGGATTGCCACGCTCCTCCATCACCACCACGCCGTTGTGCTGCTGCTGGATGGAGTCTTCCTCAACCTCTTCCTCTTTCCTTGCTGGATCAAGGCATGGGAGACGTCACCGGGCTGTACATGTGTTTAACGCGGAGGTGCCGTCCGTTCGGCACTAGGATCTCCGGTGATTTGGATCACGACGAGTACGACTCCTTCAACCCCGTTCTCTTAAACGCTTCCGCTTAGCGATCTACAAGGGTATGTAGATGCACTCTCCTTCCCCTTGTTCCTAGTCTCTCCATAGATAGATCTTGGTGTTGCGTAGAAAATTTTGATTTTATGCTACGTTCCCCAACAGGGCCACATACCCATACCTCTCACCTAAGCCTAACATCTAAAGCCGGAGGCCCCGACCGAGCCATCTGCCGGGTCCGGGGCTCAAACCGGTCTGACGCACTCACATGTGTCATCGACGCCATCATCCACTGGTCCATCTTCAGAGCAGATTGAGGTGACAACCTTGACAGGTCATCCGCCATCTACGCCACCACGACGCCAAACGACGACCTCCACCTACACGAGCCTCGGCAGGTCCTCCATCATTAACGCCACCACGACGCCAGCCGATGACCTCCACCTACGCGACTCCATCTCCAAGCAACGAACATAAATCCATGCTAGGAAAGGGCCGCACCACCGCTGTCGCCCACCACCCACAAGCGTCGCCCAACCCCAAGGTTCCCAAAGTGGCGCCTTAAGAAGGTAACGACGCCGTGAGCACCTCCGCCGCCCAACAGAGTTAGGGATTTTGCCCGGAAAACCTAGGGGAAGGTGAAGTGAGGAGATAAGTCCATACCGACGCCTCCTAGGAGGGAAACGGCGTCCTCAGGCATCGTCGTCGGCGCGGCCGGTCATGCCCGGCCAGTGATTTCGCCTGAACTAGATCTCTGCCACCAGCAACACCTCCTGTACAGAATCGGCGACCAAGAGGAAGCGCGGCCCGACCAGGCTGGCCCGCACGCCGAACAGGGGAGGAAGGGACGCGCCAGATCGTGCACACCGACCGTCGCAGAAGCCGCCGCCGACTGCCAACGACCACCGGATTCCGCCGCCCGCGCGGGCAGGACACCAGATCCACCACCCGCACGGCTGGTAGCCGGCCGTGCCTTGCCAATGGAGCCGCCGCTCCAGATCTGGGGTTCCCAGCAGGGCAACCGAGGCCCCGTCGCCACCATCCTTGGCACCCCGGGTCCCCGGGCTTGCTCGACGGCTGCCTCAGACGGCGGCGAGGGAGGGAGGAGGGGCGGCTAGGATTGGAAGGAGGAGGCGGCTAGGGTTGGGAGCAGGTGCTCGTATGCATGTTAATCATGACTCTCCCAACCTTGGTGCGTTCAACGGTATCATTTTTCTACATATTGGGGTGGCCGGCTCAAGTGGACTGAGATCCAGTGACATGTTATGGACATATCATCGATGAACAGTAGCATAACATGTCCCTTATTTCCGCATGTATTATTGAATAAGTAAATAAGTTCTTGTGTTTATTAGTTTACCTTCAGAAAGAACGCAACACTGTTTTCTGAATGTGATAAAAAGCAAGTTGGTTCTGATCATTATTAAAAACAAAAAAGATGTAAAATTTGTGTGTGCCTTTGCGTGGAGACGAAGCAGAGAGAAAGGAAAGAGTACTCCTTGGATCTCCAGGAGGCGAGTAAATGCTTGCTCGTGGGTGTGCAGTTAACGGATGAGATGGGCGGGCCCCAGGCCCAGGAAAACCGTTGTCCTTCTCATTGATGTCAGTTACCTCACGTCACTTTTGGTTCTGGGCCAGCAGTTCTGGTTTGTTGCTCCAAAAGAAAATTAGGTCCCAGTTTGATTTCTTTTTCCAATCCATTTCTTTACCTATTTATTCACTAGTAGAAACTCAATATTATACGCGACATGTGGTATTAAATATTTATGGTACGGTACCATCGGCATCACTGGTTGCTTCACATGATCTAAAGTCAAATTTGGGAGACACTATTCTATGCAGTGGAATTTAACTTGCCACACCCAATGACCCAATCATGGAGTGCATGTACAGAAATACAATAATGTGATGATGTATAAGTATAAGCAGTTGATGTGAGGGCAATAATTGAGAAAGCATGTGTCGACATGTAAGTGTATACCATCTCTAATTTAAAAAAAATTGGGGTGACAATGGCAACACAAGTCTCAAGTTGCCTTTAATTTTTATTTGATTTGTTTGGAGGCATCATCACCTACAAAACAAGTACTAGAGCCACCTTGCACCCACTGTACTATAATCAACCAAGTGGCCACATATTTTTTTACAAAAAATTAAAATCTCTCTCTCTCTCTCTCACACACACTACAAGAAGAAATTACAGGTAATTAAATTTTGTTCTAGAAAAGAAAAAGAACATCAAGAGATGGGGGCAGGGCAGGGCAGGCGTGCATGGAGTAAACACTGACTGCATTCGCTGTAGCAGTGTACAGACTCGAGTCATTTTGCACTGTAATGCATGTGAACTTGTCCTCCTCCCACAACTCCCAACATTTTCATGGCAAAAGGCAGTAGACAGACTCTACTCACCTCAAGAGAGGGGCAAAAACCCAAGAGAAAGTACTCCACCACACACAAGAGAGGGCCAAAACATTTTTGGACAGTTGCAAGCAGCAAATTGGCATGAGAGACAATTGTCTCCACGTACCTCAGGAATCTCTCGCCCACTGATCCAGATATCATCCAACATTCCAACGCCAGTAAAAAAAAGATCAGAAACTACCCCTGCTTTTTTTTGTTGGTGTCTCAACAGCAATGTCCCGACCTTCAGCAAGCCAGTGCTAACTGAAGCTGTACTGTAGTGGCACGCAAGCAAAAGAAAGAAACCATGGGCAATGGCAGCAGTTACAAAAGGGAGAGAGAGAGGCAGAGGAGGGCAATGGCATGGCACCTGCTCCTCCTCCTCTACCGTGAGCGTGAGTTGGCTGGCTGGCAGTGAGCGCTGCGTGCCGCGTTGTTATCTGGTAGGGCTGCCCCCATTGATTTGATCCCCCGGACCTTTTGTCTCCTTCCTTTCCTTTCTCCCCTCCTCACCACTGCCGCTCGCCTCGCCTACTACTACTTGTTCTCACTTCTTGGCCGCTGCTTGGCTTGGCTTGGCTTGGCTTGCTTCCTCGCTCCTCGCACCTCCCCCCTCCTCTGGCTGCTAGCTAGATAGAGTAGTAGATAGTAGATACTCCAGTGGTTGCTGCTTTGCTTTGGTTGCTTGCTGGTGCTCTCCCCACTCCAGCTTGCTCCCCTCTCCACGCCCCCCTCGGAGGCTTCTGCGGTGAAGGTGCGAGCTTCGAGCTTGACTGCGGTCGAAGGGGGTGAAGGCGGAAGCTTGCTGCCGGATCGATTGGGTCGCTTGCTTTCCGGGCGGTGCTTGGCGGTGCCGCTTTCGGCAGTAAAGGCGGGGGATCTTGCGGCCGGATCGAGAAATCCCCTGCGGCAGCAATCCGTGTAGCTGCGGGCAGGAGGGTGCCGCGCGCCGCCGCTCCCCCTGTCCGGCATTGCGGGGAGCTCCGCCGGGCTCTGAGCGGGGGCTCCACGCACGCAAGGTGTTTGCCGAAAAGCGCGGCGCGGGCGAGCGAGCCATGAGGGACTTCCCGTCCTGCTTCGGGGAGAGCGGCGTCCAGATCGCGGACGCGGCCTCCTCCTCCAGCAGCGCCGGCAAGGGCGCGGCGCAGAACCTCGTCACCTGCCTCTACCAGACGCAGCTCGCCGGCCGGCCCTGCGTCGTCTCCGTCACCTGGAGCAAGAGCCTCATGGGGCAGGGCCTCAGCGTCGCCGTCGACGGCCTGGCCGGCCAGAGCCTCTGCAAGGCGGACATCAAGCCCTGGCTCTTCTCCAAGAAGAAGGGCTCCAAGAGCCTCGACGCCGACGGCGCCAAGGTCGACATCTTCTGGGACCTCTCCGCCGCCAGGTTCGGCGCGGGTCCCGAGCCGCTCGAGGGCTTCTACGTCGCGCTGCTCTTCGACCTCGAGCTGGCCCTCCTGCTCGGGGACATGAAGAAGGACGCCTACCGCAAGACCGGCGCCAACCGCCCGGCGCTCAACGCCGCCTTCGTCGCCAGGAAGGAGCACATCTACGGCAAGAAGATTTACTCCGCCAAGGCCCAGTTCTGCGACAATGGCCAGTTCCACGACCTTGTCATAGAGTGCGACACCGTCGGCCTCAAGGACCCGTGCCTCGAGATACGCATCGACAAGAAGCCGGTGATGCAGGTGAAGAGGCTGGCATGGAAGTTCAGGGGAAACCAGACGATCCTCGTCGACGGCCTGCCGGTGGAGGTGTTCTGGGACGTCCACAGCTGGCTCTTTGGGCCGACGACGGCGAGCAACGCCGTGTTCATGTTCCAGACATGCCAGGCGCCCGAGAAGTCGATGCCGTGGTCGTACTCGCAGATTTTTAGGGAGTCCCAGCTGCAGGGCCTCGGCTTCTCGCTCATCCTACATGCATGGAAGATTGAGTAGGTGCTTGCAGATCATAAGTTGCTTCTGCGGCCGCCTCCTTCCCAGTGCTAACAAGATGTTCCATTCAGTGTCTGTCTCTTCTTCCGGGTGCTACGGGAAGCTCCAATATATGTTCTTTCAATTTATTCTATTCCTTTTCGGTTTCGCCGTCTTCATAAACGATGTGTTTGAATTGCCTGGCAAGTTCCAGTGATATTCCAGTCTGTTTTTGTCATCTCTTCCCCTCCCCTGTGTTTTGTGCCTCAAGTGAGATCGGTTCCAATTATGCTCCAAGTAGTTGAACTATGGCAATGTTCTAAGAAAGAATGCTGTCATGTGTGTATACTGAAAGTTCAGGTTTATAATTTTTGTTTATGGTAACAGTATTGTCTGATGATTGTTCTCCCCCTTCCTTTGTTCCCTGATGATCAGTAACAAATATTATCACAATGTAACTTTGGTCCATGTGCAAAAGTGGAGGTTTTAAGGAATCAAAGACACATGGATTGCTTGAGCATCAAGTCTGTTACATTGATGACAGTCCTTTTTGTGCTTATCTGAAGATATCTGAATATGCCCATCTTTTGCAGGAGACAGATCATCCTACTGAGGATCATGGAGCTCAGATGCTACAACTTACTGAAGATTACCATATTCTGTGCAATTTGGTTGGTACTACCATTTTTATAAATCTCCCAAAATGATCATCTTGTGACTTTCCTTTTGTGATTTCTTGGCGCTCTCCTGCAGCACTTTTCTTATTTCTTTTAGTCATCTGCATTGTGCGGCTAGCCAGTAAGGTGGGTGAAGCTCTGCTTTTCTTTTTCTAAATGAGGAGGTTGCATTGACATCGCCACATCGGCTATGATGATCAATGGAATTACTATGATGATCAATGGAATTAAGCAGCCTTTCCGCTTGCTGGACCACTTCAGCTGTGATGTTTGACATATTATTAAATAGAGTATTATCCTGAATCATACACAGTACATTCAAATCAGAGAGCCTGATTTTCCTCTCTCTCTTTCTGATAAGGACACCACTTTATATCTTCTTTTCCTGTTTGCATTTTGTAATTATCTTGATTGCATTTAATTCACTTGATGCTTCCATTCCAACAGAAAATTTTAGGTTCATCAATCGCTTTATACACGTTTTTTTTTTTGAAACTTCAGTCAAAATCATGGGCCTCTGAAACGGGCTGAGTACTATTAAACCAGGCTAGACATGAATTAACTATGCTGTAGGTTGGCATTTGGTTTCATTGGTTTGTTTTATATGGATATTGTAAAGATACTCTTTTGGGGTTTGTTGTATCGCTCTCTACTCTGTGTGCAGCCAAACCTAGATAGACTTGAGGGGAACATTGTGTGGTTAACATAAATTGGGATGCAAAGCTTCCTTTTTTTTGGCTACCTTGTTTCATCTGTCTGGATCAACCTCAAACTTATCAATTCAGTCTTTTAAATTGAAATAGAGCCTTCATAACCAGATTTATTTAACATGCACTGAGACCATTCCATATGGACAGTTTTTGGTGGCTAAACGACTTGCTGACGATTCGCTTCTTTTGGACACAGTGTGCTGTTAGTTCCTGTCGATGCATTTAGGGATTTATCGTAGCTACAATTTGGTTAGTTTCAAATATATTTGAAGCTTTATAAAAGCTTGCATTTGTAGTGGATGCAGACAGAGTATATGGCCTCCCTGAATGGTGAATATGCCTCTGCTTGACCTTGCATGCGTGTGTAATGAATCATTATTTCATTGCAAGCATATGACATTCTGAAAAAAAATGTGATTCGCTCTGCCACAGATTGCAGTGTATTTTACATCCTGGGAATGCATGGTTTTATGCTCTGGCTTCGCCCTGTTTGCATCATGACGTCTATAAGCACCTGTTTTACTAGATGAAGTGAATCAATTCTTCATTTGCAGGACACTGAGCAAGACACGTAATTGCAACCACAATCCGTGTCCAAAATGGTCTGCATAAACAGGTAAAGGCAACTGGCAAAGACAGAGTTATAGTTTCTGCTGGTACTGCTGTCCTTCGTTGGACTATTTGGAAAACAAGAAATAAATCATTCCCCGCAGATCCTACTAATGTTATTTTTTCTTGGTGCTCTCTGCTGGATTCATGGACTGCTGTAGAATGAGTGGAAAGCGCTTTGCTCTAAACTTATGGTTCCATTTTCTTAGTTACCACACAGGCCATGAGATGTTATCATTTTTTTTTCTTGACATAAGTATTTGCACATTTTTGTGGTAGTACGAAGGTTATCTCTAGGGACTACGATAAACCATCTATTGTATAACCGATGAAACGCACATTAGTGTATTCTTATTGTTTACATGCTTCAATCAATGCTTAATTCTGATGATTATGTTCTTGTTACAGATAGAATTTTAGTTAATGAGTTCTGCCATAGGTATGTAACCTGTTTGCTCTTTGTAGTTGTTCAAGTAGAAATATAATGCCCCGGCCATGCAACAGAATTGTTCCTTCAGTTTTCTTTTGATACTGAGTATTAGCACAAGATGTGATTGTTATAACTTATAAGTCGTCTAATCATTGTTCCTGTAACCTCGTAACTTTGCAGATATGCCGAGCACTTGCTTATATACATAATTGTGTTGTCATCTGCCACCATGATATCAAACCACAGAGCATTCTCGTGAGATCTTTAACCTCCTTTTCTATGCTTAATATGTTGTGCTGTTGTGCTTTACATATCTTCCGTCAAATCCTGCAGAATTGTTTGGCTAGTTGAGCTTTCTTTACATCTGGAAGAACATTTACCAATCAGATTTGAATAACCACTACTCCTAGGAGTAATACATTTTACTAACCTAGTAAGCTTTCCACTGTAGGTTAACCTACATAACACGAGCTCAAAATCTGAATCTGTGATTTTGGCAGTGCAAAAGTCTTGGTAAGTTATCTTCTATAATAAGGTAGAAATTTAAATGCTCGAGTACTGCCGATTTTGAAAAGAACATGCTAAACTTTCTTGATAAGAACAAAAAAAGGGTGCGCACTTATGCCAGTAACCTACCCAGATATGATGATTTCTAAATTGTTTTCAAAGTAATGTTTTGCATATATGTCCTACATTTACTCAAGATATCTGCCATTATTTTGTTGTGGTTTTGTTCACTGCAGACTGAGTATCTGCTCTGTCATGGCAGAACTGCTTCCCCCATAGGTTTTTCATTCATGCATATAGTCTTTTACTCCCTCCGTCCCAAATAAGTGTTGCTGATTTAGTAAAACATTAGTACAAAGTTGTACTAAATCAACGGCACTTATTTTGGGACGGAGGGAGTATTTTACTATCTAGCTTGTTCTCATAGTATTCATCCATCCATGTAGCCTCTTTTTCCTGGGGGAAAGTGGAGTTGATCAACCGGTTGTGATTACCAAGGTGAAATCCTTGCAGTATGACATTTGAAACTGTTTTCTCCTGCGACCTGCATTCTTTATAATGACATGTTCGGTCATAGTGCGTCGCAGGTCTTGGGGATACTCCAACAAGGGAAGAGATCAAGTGCATGAATCCAAACTACACGTTGTTCAAGTCCCCACAAATTAAGGCTCATCCATGGCACAAGGTAATGTGTGCATATTATCAAGTGCATGGCGTTTTTTTTTTCCAAAAATGCTGCACAGGTACGTTGGTAATTAGTGAATGGGTGTTGTTTAATCAAGCATGAACTAATACAATACTGAAAAAAACAATTCATAGTTTCTCAGATATTCCCGCCAAAATAAGCATTCCTCAGATACTTAACAAAAAGGAAAATAAATTACAACGGACAAAAATGGAAAGTTGATGCAATGGAAAAAAAAGGGCCAGACGAGGTGGGTGTTTCTCAGATGGGCCGGGCTCTGTCTGTGTTTCCAGCAGGCAGCAGCCCAACCTCACGGGCCAGCACCCAACCCACGAGTCCTTCTAAAAGCTCACACAGAGGGGGAGCTGCGTGGCTGCACTCCTAACATTAGTCCCACCTCGCCAGTTTAAGGGGAGCGGAACCAGCTTATAAGCCAAGGCGCAGCAAATGGAAGCACGACCTTACTTGAACAGGATCTGTTCTATAGGCTCGTACCGCTGCATCCTTTACTAATAAGGAGGCAAGCACTTCAGTCTGGTTGATGCATTCTGACCTCTGGGCCAGAGCGTGATTAACGGCCAGGATTCCCCTTATGGGGGCAATCCACGGCTGTAGAGGATCGTTCCTGCCTTGCTCATGCCTGTGCAGGGTGGCCCAGAGGTTGTCTGACAGACTACAACATCTTTTTTTGCCTTGTGCTCGTTTTAGCCAGTCTCTTTTTCAGTTTCTCATTCTACATTCAGTCAGACTGCAGTTGTATCGGTGAACTGCCTTGTGCTCGTTTTAGCCAGTCTCTCATTCTACATTCAGTCAGACTGCAGTTGTATCGGTGAACAGTGATCTACCTGCAGTTCGGCGCCACCTCCACCTCGAACACCCCTGTAGCGTTCCCCTTCCTGAACTCAGCCACGCCGGCGCTGCCAGTCAAGTTAATGAAAATGGATGGAACTGAAGAGTAATTAAATATATGGAGGGAACGATAACTGAAGATTGAGGGATGAAAGACAGTGATAACTGATGACGGAAGGAATGAGTAACAGTGGAAAACTAAGAATGAAGGACTGATCACCATCCACCCCTCGCTCTTATACTCCTTCAATGTCTCAAGACTGATGATAACTAGCACACACACACACAAAAAAAAACTGAAGAACTAATGGCTGGATGACAAGAATGACAAGTGAAATGAGACACTAATAACTAAAACATAAAACTGAGAAGTGACCAGAAAAATAATGATTTGAGATGAATGAAGAACGAGAAGAAGGCCGAGTTAAAGAAGACTGAAAATGAAGAATAATAAGAATACTGATGAAAAGACTAAAGACTGAAGATAACTAAGGTACTGAACAAAGAGAGAACAATGACACTAATAACTAAAACATAAAATTGAGAAGTGACCGAAAAAAAATGATTTGAGATGAATGAAGAATGAGAAGAAGGCCAAGATAACGAAGACCGAAGATGAAGAATAATAAGAATACTGATGAAAAGACTAAAGACTGAAGATAACTAAGGTACTGAACAAAGAGAGAACAATGAATTAAGAAAAAAAGAGTGATGTGGCTAAAAAAGGAGAGTGAAATCTGAACAAAAGACTGTGGACTACACAGTCCATTTTATCAACAATCCTCATAAAGTATGACAAGTTTTCTTTTTGGTGGTTGGTTCGCTTCTTTTGGACACAATGTGCTGTTTGTTAGTCCCTGACCATTCATTTGGGGATTTATTGTAGCTACAATTTCGTTAGTTGCAAATATATTTGAAGCTTTACAAAAGCTTGCATTTATAGTGAATGCAGACAGGGTATACGGCCTCCCTGGATAGTGAATATGGCTTTGCTTGATTTTGCGTGTGTGTGTGTAATGAATCAGTATTTCGTTGCAAGCATATGTGCTTCGCAAAAAAATAAAATAAATATGTGACTCACTCTGCCACAGATTTGCAGTGTATTTTACATCCTGGGAATGCATGGTTTTATGCTCTGGTTTCGGCCTGTTTGACATCATGACGTCTATAAGCACCCTGTTTTACTAGATGAAGTGACTCAATTCTTCATTTGCAGGAGACCGAGC